AAAAAATAGATTTTTCATATGTTTTACTATGTGATCGACAAAAATTACGTAGACTTTTGTCCAGTGAGTGTATAATTCAAAGCATAATAAGCTCCATACAATTATCTTTGACTGACTGATAACACATAATAATCATAGTAATAGGGATATTTATACGCATAACTTATCCCGGATTAAAGTAATCTATTCATAATAATAATACTGAGATTACGAAAATAACGAATAACGGAACATTTATTTATAGTATCACGGGATTTTAAAACTTACATTATTTACTCCTTTTATTTTTACTTCCATTCTAACTTCTAATAATAACCATACCAAAGACATGCCTTCAGTAACTGCATATGCGCTTATCTCTATAGTCTTTACAATCGACTATTTTTTAGGGTTTCAGGCCCTATTTATGCCTAACTGGTATGTTCGGACTTGTATTGAGAATGAGGCTTAGTGGTCGATAGTGCGATTTTGATAAGGTTAAAGTTCATAGCCGGTAAATCCCATGCTCTTCTTCGACTTGCTGACGTATTAGTATGCACTTCATGTAGGCTCGTCTATGTCTCTCACATTCCCTTTACGTCAGATATACACTATGGGCTGTTCAAAGTATGACCCAGAATCTTTTCTCTGCCGGTTTATACATTTTCTAAATATCCTCTAATTCTACCATTTGCTTATTGCAGAAATGCTCTTCCGTAAAAGGCTGTTCTCCATTCCCCTCGCCCGAGAATAACGATTGCGACGAAGAATGGTTCTGTGAATTATGGAATGCAGCTCGTTTTGCCGTTTTATTTGCTACTTTCGTTGGAGCCGTTACCTGGCTTGCTCTCTTGGTAGTAATGCTAGGTGGCCGAGGAAAAAGAGAGAGAATGTGGGGTAGTATTGCTGCTTGGCTTATGTTTCATGGTGAGTTTATCAATTATTATGAACGTTCATATGTGATTGCTCTACTCACACCTTATTTTCTTTGGATTCTAGCTTTCTTCCAATTCATAGCTGTCGGCCTGATTGCATATCTGTTTAACAATTCTGACCGATTCTATATGGGTTACAAATATGATACGGCATTTATATTTGCAACGATCTCGGGATCTTTCAGCGTAATGCTATCAATATCTTTAGTTCTCAACGGTATCTTAACCCCATCTGGATATGATTACTTGGATTGATCATTTAGAATGTAATATAAGGAGGGACATTCCATTAATGTAAATTAAGTGATGTCGCACATTGATCTCTTAATGATGTCTTAGATATATCGCTTTAAACAAATACATGACATCGTTCACGTTTATGATCCTTTTATTAGAACGTTATATTAATCATTAAAATATTCAATTTGAATAATATGTAACGATTCATCAGCTTTTTTTTCCTCTGTAAACGGGGAATGACCAAAAGTTCAAAGACTTTATCGGTAACATTGTTTTAAAGATATTATTCCCTTTGTAATCAGTCCTGAACGTGCTCAAAAGGTTGCCAATTCGCATTCATTAAATGTAATATTGTTCTCATTCGCGCTTCTTTGCCACCGTGGTTTCTCAACACGATTATCACCTTTCCAGGCCGACCCATTCTCCCTGTTCGTCCAGCCATGTGCAAATAATTCCATATAGCAGGCGGCCCACCGAGTATAAAGACATGTGATACTGAAGGTATGTCAACACCACGTGTAAAGCTCTGCGTCGTAACATATAATACTCTTCGATTAGGTGTTGGCGAGAGACCACCAGCTAATGATCTAAACGATGATACAAAATCCATCGCCGGCAATCCAAAAGATCTAAGTCGGGAAATCAGATTCGGTATATTTGTCCCGTCACCAGCAAAGAGAATTCCCTTTTCCACTTGTTCAGCCTCAAAAGCTCCTGCTACGCTATCGAGCATACGGTCATCGTCATCATCAAAGCCAACCTCGTCGTCCGCGTCGTGCAATGTTTCATCTTCCGGTTCCTCATTTTCTGTCATCCAACTCGTCTTCTGCATTCGAATATTCCTAATATCCTGATCCCCAACTATCAAGCAGTGATGAACGATGTTATCAGGTGATTTATGACCTTTTGATATGTCAACAAACACAGGATTTACTGTGTATTCATTGTCCTTCATGAAAAAGTATCGAATTGAATGATTCAATGTAGCAGATAAGACTATCAACTGTGGCTTATATTGCAAACTACCTGCTACGTCAAAGACATGGTGAAGCACCTCTTCTCCTGGAGGGACATGTTTTGATCTTGCATATATCTCCCGAAATGTTGCATGCTTTTTGGGTAATTGAAGTAAATGATCGGCATCATCTAGAGACAATGTGTGCAAGTCTCTCAAATCCAAGTCCTTGCTTTTTATCAGTTCATGTAGTCTCGTAGCAGTACCTACTAGTAGATGTGGTGGTCTCTCCGATAAAGATTTCAATAACTCATTGTTATTAATATCTTGACCTCTGTAAACAGTCTGGACTACGTCAACAAGCGATGGAAAAGCCTCCTTTGGCAATAATCGACGAACCCATCCTTCTATTTGTATTGCCACCTCTCGAGATGGGACCATGAGGAGGCTAGTAATGCATGGTTGTTCCTAAAAGCAACGGGTATCTTAATAGGGTCTGGGTGATTAATAAACTCGAATAAAGATTATCACATTACCTTTTTTCCTTTATGAATTCTGTGAGCACGTCTCTTGTTTAAAAGAGCCAGCGTTAAACCGAAAGTTTTACCAGCTCCAGTGACGTCTCTTATGAATACATCACTTCCCTTGAGTATTAAAGGAATCGATTCTTGCTGACATAATGTCGGTTTTTCGATGCGAAAATTCTTTTCTAAAGCCTGACAAATCGGTAATCTTATTCCTATAGACTTGAACAGATTATGAGATTGCTGTACGTTAGCAAACAGTTTCCGATGTTTTATGCTTCATACCGCAAAATCCGGTGCTGTCAGTCTTGCAGGCGGTAGTTTTACGATGGTCGACAATCGCCGTGCGAAAAGCCGAATATTTGAACTGTAGCAGCAAATATCAGCAATATTCTAGCATTATTTTCAGATACGATGGTTCTGGGCTGGATCGATACCTTCTCTGGCAAACTTTATAGAATCGCTGACGCGTTAGCTGTACGGTGTGCTTAGGTGTAATCCCAACTAATTCGACAAGCAGATCCATCAAAAATTTTTGTGCCAAGTGAAACCCTTTTTGGTACTATCTTTAATCACGTGGCTGGTATTAATATAATTGTACCGTTTAATGAACTGTGGCTAATGATGATTATTGGCTATCAATGGCTATTGAAAAATTTAAATAAACGCGATTTATTATAAGAATGATTTTTATTTTCTGCTTAT